ATTTGTAAACATGGATGAGGTCACCCCTCAGTCTCCTTTTCTCCAAGCTAAAGAGACCCAGCTCCCTCAGCCTTTCCTCATCAGGGAGATGTTCCAGTCCCTTCACCATCTTTGCGGCTCTGTGCTGGACTCTTTCAAGCAGTTTCCTGTCCTTCTTGAACTGAGGGGTCCAGAACTGGGACACAACATTCCAGATACAGCCTCACCAAGGCAGAAGAGAGGGGGAGAACTCCCCTTGACCTACTAACCACACCCTTTCTAATGCACCCCAGGATGCCATTGGCCTTCTTGGCCACAAGGGCACATTGCTGGCTCATGGTCATCCTCGTGTCTACCAGGACCCCCAGGTCCCTTTCTCCTACACTGCTCTCCAGCAGGTCAGCCCCAACCTGTACTGGTACATGGGGTTGTTCTTCCCCAGATGCAAGACTCTAAGGTCAGCACAGCTGCTCCTCCTCACACTGTCAGAGAAATCCCAGTGAAGGGGACCAATGTTCGCCCAGAGAACCTCACCCTGTGGATACTCACACTCTTTATGAGCAGGGGGTAGCGGGTTATCCTCTGCATGGGCTTCAGGAGGAAACTGGAGAGGGGCATTCCTTTGCAGCGAGGGTCCAGGGCAAGTTTCTGTGGTGCAGCCCAGAGATTTAACAGAGACACCGCGTTACTCATCAAGAAACAGTTGCCTCACCACACTGAAAACTGTCTGATCAAATAGTTTTTCCAGCCATTCCAATCCTAGAATTTGCAAGGCAAACAATACTTGTATCTAGAACAAACAGGAAAGCCAGTGCTGTCACTGCACTCGGATGCTTTGCCAGCATAAGCTAGAGGATCATTGTACCTGCAGACTCCTTACATCAAAAAACATTCCATCTTTTATTTTGACATTACAGGCCACTTGGGGTTAAAAAAAACAACAAACCAAAACAATGAAAACAAACCCCTGATGTCAGCAGCTCTGACATTTCTCCTTTCGTGGCCTTGAAGCCCCCACTGCAGTGTGCCAGCCTCTGACACTGCACACCTCTGGTCCTGGCTGCAGCACTCAGGCACACTGCACACCCCACTGCATTACAGGCATGTTCAGATTTCAACTCGACAGACCCCTGCCCCTTCAGACAGCAGAAATTCGTGGGAAGGTGCAGACATGGGCACTGTAGTTTTGTGGGGCTAGTGTTACACTAGAGTAATGAGCAATGGAATGGAAAATGGAGTAATAAATTGGCTAGAGAGAAAGACAGGTATGTAAATAAAAAGCACACACTGTTAACCGTGGTCATCAGATGAATACACCTTGGAGGGTTCTTAGCTATTTTTGGAAGATTTTACTCTTCTGGGTTATTTAGATTTGGTCATTGCTGGTTAGGTGGGTTCCTGTCACTGAGGAAAGGAGAAAGCACAACAGCTACTGAATAAGGTACCTTTAAGTAGTCTTTGAAATCAGCATCTTCATCAGTTTTCTGCTGCAGCAACGAAGCTCCGTTAAGCTGGCAGCTGCAGAACCGAATGTAGGCCTGCATGTGGGAGAGCTCTGCTGCCAAGATGTCTCCAATCATCTGCACTGGCATTTTTTCTCCTCCTGTTTTCTTACGCACTCGCAAGGCTCTGAAGAGGAAAGAAATCACCATCCAGCTTTTGCTGCCAAGTCTGTGAGGCTGAAATCATGCATCCCCAAAAACGACACAAGCCTGTGAGGTGAGTTTCCTCACACAGCAACAGGCACTTCCAGGAGTGCAGAGTCCAGCCTGAACCCCTAGAAAATCACCAGCACAACATGTTGAGCTGAATGAGCTGCCTGATGGGGCCTGCAGGACTGAGACTCTCCTTTGAGGTTTCTGGGATAAGCAGCATCAATCTCTGCATTCAACCAGCACCCCATCTCGATGAGTCATTAGCCAGTTTGTGTCTCCAAAGTTTATTTTTAGAGAACAGAAGGTTGCTTTGCAGAAAACTGGGAAGAACATCTCCCATGTGCACGCTTTTGTGTAGGCTCTATTTCTAAGGTGTTACAGCAAATGTGCATCTGGTCTTGCTGTTTAATTCCCCTCTCTCTCAGAACAACTCCTTCTTTATGAGATAGTCTGAATGCATTTAGCTATTCTGAATGCACACATGCACAGGAAATAATCAGCAAGGACAAAAATATTTTACTATAAACCCAGAAAACTTCCTGAGGAAAGGAACAAGAGAATAAAGAGGAAAAACATAAAAATGAAAGTACTTACTTCAGTAACTTTGTATTTGACATGATGAGTTCCTTCCAGTTAACAAAGATCAGCCCCATCTCTCCTTCTGTGAGACAACCAGAATCAGCCATTGGTTTTTGGAAAACCTGCAGTCCAAAAATCAGAAAGATGAGCAATTCTGCAGAGATAAAAGCCTCCTGTCACTATTTTTCCTAAGTGAGTGACCTCATCTTGACACCATAATCACCATTTGTGAAGCAGGGATGAGCAGTGGGACCTGCAGACTGACTGCTCAGCAGAACATGCCCATGATTTTGGAGTCAATTGCTACACAAATCACACTGACACATCCCTACCTCTCCCCAGACCCAGAGCACTCAGTCGACCCCTGTGCTGAGCTACAGCTCCTTTCAGGGACCCCTGGCACAATACCCCCGGATGGCAGAACATCTGTGTAACTCAGTCTATTTAACATCTTTAACACTTCACCACACAGTTGTTTCATGTAGAGAGGTCGAGTGAGATGGCCAAGAACACCTAATGCTGCCCAGTTCCTGCCCAGCCTAGTGAGGTGGTTCTGCTTCCAGAAATAAAATCAGAAAACAAGGCAAACGATACAATGGTGCTTCTACAGCCTCTTGTCATGAGCCTGTGCAGCTCTGCAAGACACCCCGAGCCCAAACACCTAAGAACAAGACTCGGAAAACAGGAAGGTCCCTGTATGACAATGACTGTCATAACGTGATGTTTCTGCCTGGTGGACAACCACTAACATTTGCTAGAAAGGGAGGTGCTGACACAACCTCACTTTCTTCCTCTAGCATTTCACAGTTCATAAAAAACCCTTTATTTTTTTTTTACTGTTTACTCTTACTCAGCAGGACAGAGGTGTTATTGATCCAAATACATTTTCACATCCAAGCCATCTCACCTCTAAGACAAGCTGCAGATCGTCCATGTACCTTTCTTCCGTCTGAATGAGTTCGTGGATGTAGCCCTGCCTTTTCCTCTCCATTGGCTGCATGGTGTCCAGGCTCTGGAGATCAGCACACCCTACAAGAAGTAAGCCAGTACTTTAGATCCCACTCAGGCCGTCAGACCTGATGAAGTGACAGAACTGCATCAACAGACACCAGCCTATGGTTCAGACTAGAGACACAGTGGTTTACTTTACAAACCCTGTCCCCAGCAGCAGCAGGTTTCAAATTTGGAAATTTTAATTGGTTCTTAAGAGTCTGTCACCATTTTATTTTTTTGAGCATCCTTTGTTCTTGTACTGTGATGCTGACAAGGAATTCCTGACTTCCTGCCACTCCACTTCTCTCATGATTTTTCTCATCTCCTTTTCTGCCAAAGCGTTTCAAGACTGTGGTTTTCTCTTACCTTACAGAATGTCTTTTGGGAGATGTATCCATCTAGAATGTGCCTGGATGTGACTTAAGACACTGCACCTTTAATCTCCACCCCTTTTCTGATAAATTAATATTAATTTATGATACAAACCACGGGAACGAATTTGTAAAGTTATAATGCATGATGTTACAGTTGTGTAACTTCACAGTCACACAAGCTTTTTATTTGTTTAAAAGCAAAATGAGCCTGAAATATGTTGAATTATTTTATGCATCAAGTATGAACAATCAAAATCATGCACAGGAACACAAAGCCAATCAGTGACACAAACCCCAAGTTTTCTGTAGTAACGTGCAGACCTCAAAGCTTTGCTTTCTCTACTGCATACGTTAGTAAAGATGACATCATTTGACATTTAGTAACCAAATCAAAAGCTGGTAAAAACAAAGTGGTAAATATGTTTAAAAGGGTAAAGGAGAGAGCATAGGAAGTCACACCCTGACCCCTCTGTCAGCCATCACATGCGAGCAGAGGACTGTGAAGTAGCAGGGTGGGGAGAAATAAGAAACAATGACAGAGCGTTTGAGAACATACATCCAGCACTTGATGTGATGGAATCAGATTTTAACACAACGTGCACTGGGGATTTTGCAGGATAGCAGAAAGGACATTACAGGGACTCGTTTTGATCCAGCATTTCTAGAGGAGTGATCTTTTTTGAAAGTTCACAGGTGTGATGAAAGGCAGTCTGGCCCACGCCACGCAGGGCTGTGTCCCCCTTGTCACCCTAGCACATCTAGGACAATAGAGTGTGACTTCAGTCTATCCATGGTATAGATCTGTTCATGGCAAGGCTGCTCTAAATAATGAAAAGAAGGTGAGTTAGCAATAAATCTGGGGGGGTGAGAAACAAGAAACACTGAACATTTGGCTAAACTTGATGTGACAGTGAAGCTGATGGGGCTGTGCCCTTCCTGCTAGACAGGCATCAAGCTGCTCTGAAGGAAGAGCCACCTTCAGCAAAAGAGAAACTCTTGTCAAATGAAGTTTTATGATACCATTCCAGGTATTTTAACAGGGAAAACCTTTGAACAACACAAAGAAGTAGAGCAGTAAAGGGAATAGCTAGATCAGGACTTTTCACTTCTGTGTTGTACCCCATAGGAGGATCACAGATCTTATGCTTTCTGACAAGACTTGAAAAAAATGCCACTTTTCATGAAGAGGTCTGGGACTGAAACTCTTTTAATTGTGCAGAATTCTGCTCCTGGGCTTACTTATTCCAAAAGTTACAGTCAGGCCAAAATTATATGAGAAAAAGGAGTAAAGTTACAGATCAAAGTGATTTCCTGTGAAGTTGGGTATCTCAGTCTGTCAAGGACGGTGGCCAACGTGTGCTGCTTCTGGATTCCAGCATCACTCCAGTCTGTACAACACTGAGTTTAAGCCCAGTTGGTTCCTAAACCATGCAATTCTAGGATAATCAAGGTCTTGCACTTTATTTATCCAGACTGGGAAGCCTCAGCTTTGACCATTTGGTTCTTTCTACTGCAAGGGGTACTCCTGCAAAGAAGAGCAGGGAGGGACTGAAGCTCCTGTTGCTGTTTGCTTCTATCACAGCTGTTAGAACAACCCACACACTCAGAATTGTGTCTGTCTCATGCTGCCTAGGAAAGCTGAAGTAAACAGTGGAAGGAAAACAGGACTTTTTTAATGCACCTAAAATAGACCTGAGTTTATAAGCTCATTATCAGATACAAAAATGCAGCTAAAATGCTCCTGCACTGACTTTGTATTCGGATTGTCAGCTTTTGGGATGAAAGGATGAGTGCTACTGTATATTTAAATAAGCACAATTGAAAACATCCCAAGTTTTGATGTGTCTGATGATACTGGCACAAAAACATAGTACGTAATTCCCAGATCTGATTTTAGAGGATGAACTCAGGCATTTGGATCTGAAAGGAAGAAAGATGAACAAGACTGAAAATAGAACAACCTACCTAGTGTATTTGCCAGTGTTTTTCCCAACGGGTCATAGCAACTCATGGGCTCAGGGGTACAGAAAGGGTGGACCTGTATCTCTACCCATTCTCCTCCCACATTCCTGTTCCCTCCTCTCCTTGCATCAGTTCTGGCACTCATCTGACTCCCAGCTCACACCCTGGCAGCAAACAAATCCCGATGGGGACAAAGAAACAGTAGTTCTCTGCTAGTTTAGCAGCCAGGAATGTGCATGGAAGCAGTAAGACTGCAAAAAGATGTTGTTTGGCTTCTGTCTTTTGAAGCTTCATCCCAAGCTCCCCATACAGCTAAAGAAAAGCAGTGAGATTTTTGGGAGAGCCCACAGAGAGGAATCTTAGCTGCCCAGGCTAAGGGCTCACCTCTGCTGACTAGCCAAGAGGTTTACATGACCTTTGGAAGGGAAGCCCCACCCTTCTGCAGAGAGCAAGGGAATGCCAGGCTGTTAGACAACATGGGGCAGGATCTGTCAAGCTCCCCCCAGGCAACAAGGTCTAACAGAGCAAGTGGTACAAGTCTGGTACCTTCAAAACGTGGGGCAGAGGAAGAGGGTGATGCCCACTACAACTGTGGTACCTCTCATGACAAATCCTGCTCCCCAAGCTGAGGAAGCAGCTGTCTGGCAGGGGCAGACCAAAACAAGTTGGAATAACAGGAAATCCCAGTCTCTAAAGTTGTGTTTAAAATTATACTTCCCTCTCCAAATATACCTGAACAAGAAATACCTTCCTCCTACTAGCTTAACTCACCCTTCCATGAAAAACTTCTGAGTTTCAGAGCCAAAAGATGTTCTACTCTGCAGGAGACTCAAATGCCTGAAAATCATGGGGGGCTTGGGGAGAAAACCTTTCCAACTACTGACATTTAGATTTGAGTGAATTCAAGGGGAAGAATGACACTTCCTAAAGAAATCCTCCAATGACAGAAAGATGAATGAGACCTATCACCATTTAAAAAAACTTTCACTTTTTCCTTTGTTAAATAAAGGAAAGTTAATTACAATTCTTCACTTAAAAGCCAATTCCAGAGAACAGAGGTAAAAAAACAAATGGATAAAAGGCTTTCAAAGACACCCAGACCTGCTTGGGCACCAAATGCTTTGTCCCCTTTCCTAACAAACTTCCCCACTCAATTAACAAGTAAAAAACACATTAAAAATGACAATTTTGGGAAGACATCTTAAACCTCAAACATGAGCCCAGAAGGGTCCTGAAGAATCTATCTATACCAGAGGCATCACTGCTTTGGGTCATCAGTGAAGACTATTGAGGGTTAGAGGTGGCATATGTAAGTTGCACTTGCAAGGGAAAAACCTAATTTACTTAGGTTTGTGGATTATTTTTTTTTTTTTGGGGGGGGATGTGTGTATATTTTTGTGTTTCGTTTTTCATTCAAGCACATTGATATGGCTGGAAAAATCAGATAAGGGTTAGGGTTTTTTGCCTGTCCTAGCCTGCCTCTGTTTTCCTAGGCTACCATAGAAAGATTACGTCTCATCTCAAGTACCACGGGCTGGGATTACAACAGTCCCTGTAGGACAGTCAGAAAGCAGACTGATGGCACCACAGGACAACACCCACAGCCTTTTGGCAATCAGTGCTGACACACACCAAGCTAGTTTATTTGCAATGTACTCCTGTCACTGCCTGTAGTTTATAGTAGCCTCTGTGCCTGCTGAAACCCATGAAAGGAACTAATCCAAGAAACCTGTGGAAAGGTTGGTTGGGAAAAACAAAACCAACTTTTATCCAATCTCCCCTAAACAGTACATGCAGCATACTCTCTCAGCAACAACAGAAGGAATTTATTATTCAAATTTCAAGTGTCAAAAAGCAAAATCAAGTTGCTCCATCAGCCAGCCAGGTAACATAATACATACCAAGCTATTCAAATGGGAAAAAGTCCTCCCCAGCTGGACAAAAAAACACAAGAGACAAACTAGATCCTTTTATGTGTCCCTTTAATAAAGTAAATTTGCATAGTTATCTTACAACTTTGTTTAAAACCAAAGATGAACAATTGCCTCATGCTTAGCATCGCCTGCATTTGCATGTCTTCACAATCAATCCCAAACATTAACACTCTAGCTTGAAAAGAACAACAGAAGAGATTTTAAGGCAGCACACACCATTATGTAGCAATTTTATTATTTACTTCATTACATGAAAGTAGCATGACCCTGTAGCAGCTTCCAACACTACTGCAGGCCAAGGTCTGTCAGCATTCCTACAAGCACTTATTTACAGGTGTTTCCAACTCGACTAAAGAAAATCACACAGGGATACAATCTGACAAAGCATCGAGGTGGCATAAATGTTCAGTGACTGGTAGGAGACATTTCATTTGATGGAGCTTTATGCCTTCTGCACTCCTAACTGTACCATGGATGGCAGTGACATTTTGACAGCATTTTGTGTGATTTCACAGCCCTTCCCCATCACTGACTGCTCACACAGCCCAGCCCTGCAACCAGGTCTCGGTGGTGGCACAAGACTTTCCTGCTGGATCAGGAACTCAGCTCTGCAGACTAAGCTTTTGTAAACTACACCTTTTGTAGGTTGTTCGTCCATTATGCAAAGGAGGCAGTTACAAAATGAGGAGGTGTTTCAGTACCTGTTCTTGAGCATGTACAGCATTGTTTGCACTCTCACCCCAGTTACACACTATTCTCTGCTGCC